TTTCGACCACCTGTACTTTCAGCTGGACAGAGGCCGTAAGCATAAAACTCTTAGTCGTTCTCTGTCCAGCCTCAGTGACCTTCCTAGGGGGTTGGTCAAGTGGTCATGGATGTAGAAGCGTGCATAGTGATGAGCGAAGTTTGCCATAATACCTCTGATTCGATTCCGAGACTTCCCAGGCACTCGAGAGAAAAAAAAACTGGGCAGAGTCTAACATGGATGTGGAGACATAATAAGTGTCGGGGGGAGCGTGCCGAAGTGAGCGGAAGTTATTATAAATCTCGGAAAAAAAGTGGATGAGGAAGCGAAGAGGACAAACTTTCTTGTTGCACCAAAGAAGGTGGAGCTGAAATCGAGAATGGCGTAGTGGATCAAAGACTGCAAAAGACCGAAAAATCCATGCTTTCACGGTATGAAAAGGAACTCCCAGCCAGACATAAATCTCACCTGCTCAAACAGCTCAATTATGGAAAATTATAGCCATTTTCGAAGAAAACGCCCCTTCACGGCTCCCACGCTCAACTTTCGTTCACCACCTTGGTGTTAATAAAGGCGCGGTCCGGGATTAGCCATGCTCACCTGTAGATTCCCCGATCGTGGTAGACAGGCGAAAAAGCTCTAATGTCGCGGACCTTTTGAGCTTTCAAAATGGGCGACATCAAAATGCGCGACAAAGACACTGGAAGCTTGATCTACCTGCATTAAGCTTGCAAGATTGCGATCTGATCTCCTTAGCTGAAAATGGTCGATAGAGAGAGGAATCCCCGAGTTACCGCGAAGTTATGTCGTGGTCAAGTTGGCAAAGGATACTACGAACTCGCCTCCCTTGTCGCTGACTAACCTGATGGTGCGGGATTTTACCAAGTTCCGAAGCTCAATGAGGCCGCATACCAGCGCTCGCGAGAGATTGGATGGCAACTACCGCTTTGGTACCTACTAAGACCCTGAATACTTCATTAGCGAAATTCCTGAAACTTATACTGAAGCCGCATCAGACTCTTACTGCTCGATGTATACATGTATTCTGGGGAAGGATATGCTAAGCGAGGTGCTATTAGGCCTTGAGCTGCCCCTCCTAGCCTTGGCGTTATAACGGAGGAAATCCTGGAGCTCGTGT